AACAGAACATCACTCATCTTTTGAAACAGGGCTGAAACAGAGGGGATTTGGGTAATGCTGCAATGATCTGTTTGGTGTTTCAGCCAATCAGAGACAGGCTCTGTATATATCTGAGACCTATAACATATTGATGAGAAACAGTATAATAGGGGACCTTTAAATCCACTTTTTTAACAAACAGTTTTGTGTTTTTCTTTGTGTGCACAGATTCTTGTTGGAGAGCTTTGTGCATTCTTCACCAAGGCGGAGGGAACCCAGGAGAAAACCATTGTCACTGCAGACTGCTGCTACTTCAACCCCCTGCTGAGACGCATAATACGTTTCCTAGGTGAACACACTGCAGTATTGAACTGCCATTTTTCTCTTTACAGAGTCCTTTCAGGGTGTATTTTTGTGTAGTTTTGCCAGGTAGATTTCCACGCTGCTATGGACAGTTCTTGCACTAATGCAGATTTCTCAGAGTTATTGAAGTGACTGTTATTTATATTGATTGTTGTGCTTTTAGTTATGTCTTAATGTGTGCATATGTAGACATGTGTCTGTTGATTGTGTATATATACTTTATAGCAGTGGTTCTCAACTGGTCAGGCCTCGGGACCCACTTTTTACTTGGTCAATACATCGCGACCCAACATTTTGAAGCACTCAAATCTATTAAACAAAAAATCGTGCTGTAATATATACGCTTTTCAGCATACAATATTCATTAAAGTGAAGTGCAGTGCATATATCCCTTATATCCCTTCACAGAACTAAAGTATGCTTTTAAAAAGGTTTATGAGTTGATGGAATCAAAGCTGAACTGTATAAAAAGGCACATGTGCTGAAAACCCACCCCCAGAAGGGGGGTCTGGGGGGATTCTCCCCCAGGAGATTTTTAGAAATACTAACAAACTACGCATTATTTGTATCTGAAGTTGTACCCATGGATGTATAAAGAATAGTTCTACCGCAAAGTTATTCTCCGTGGGGACTTCCGGCAACAAGCTTGATTCTGATTGGCCAGAAGACTCGAAAAAACATCAGCAAAGATATTTTATTGTGAAGATGATCACTACGTGACAGAAGTTTTCAAAGCCGTTTATGGTCTCCGGTACTTCCAGTCCAACGCCTACTGCATGCACAGCGTTAGAAAATCGGGCCTTCAAAATAAAAGTTTGACTTTTTTCCCAAAAAAAAGAATTTCCAATTTCTTTTTGAATTTTGTTTTTTCTTCACTCACATCCGCGACGCACTCGAAATGGGTCCACGACCCACTTTTGGGTCACGACCCACCAGTTGAGAACCACTGCTTTATAGGATATACATTTTTATATACATTTGTATTTTTGTATTCGGGATTGTGGGAAACGGTATTTCGATCTCTCTGTCTGTACACACAAACTGGAAGATTGACAATAAAGTTGACTTTGATTTAAAGTCTTCCTTCTTTAAAAAAAAAAAAAAGAAGAGATACAGTAGAGAGACCGAATCAAAAAGGTCCAAACAACTTGAAATAAAAGGTTGACTTGTTAGAAACGTGACCCGCTACACTGTGTAAACCGGAGTTGGTGCATGGAGCTGCTAATTGGATGATAAACTGAGATTTCATTTTGGAGGTAAGATATTCAGGATCTTGTGAATATTAAGCAGCCTGCAAATTTACATCTCGAGCTGAATCAGCTGAGGTGAAAGCTTCTCGGTGCAATTTCACACCTCAGCTGATAATAAAGTGTTGATGCTATTTTAGGAAGGTAAAACTTTGTTATCACCCGTTATATCTCAAACTGTTGTATCTGTTAAAATGGTTCAAACAGCTAATGTGATTTTCTGATAACTCTCTGCCTTTTCTTGCCTCTGCCTTTTATTTCACGTCTACATCCCTTTTCAGGCTTTTATTGTAATGTGCACATTAGCTATTCATGCAGTCAAAATTGTTCAAATGTACAGAAATGGTAGAATTCCAAACGGCACAAATCATGTTTAAGGCAAATAATAATGTTTTACCAGGAAACATCCAAAAAGTATTCACTCAACGAGTGGGGGGGATATAGTTCAAGGAGACAATTTCAATTCGAAATTCATAGGGTCCGTACAACCAGAAGAACTTGTTGTATCTCAGCCTGTGGAGAGAGACTATGGAACAGTGTGAATGTGGAGCTAAAGCCATTTCACTGAATTGTCGTCTTGAAAAGGGTACTCACAACAATTCCGCAACAACTTCATCTTCACCTGTTGCACTTGTCATTTCAACGTTAAAAACAATAAAACGGCATGAATTGCTTCGTCGCATTCGTTCTAGATCCTCTGTCTGGAGTCAGTTAACTAGCGGGCCTTCTAGAGCAGTGGTTCTCAACTGGTGGGTCGCGGACCCGTTTCGAGTGGGTCGCAGATGTGTGAGTGAAGAAAAAAAAAAAAGATCTTTTTTTTTTCTTTTTGAAAAAAGTCTAACTTTTATTTTGAAGGCCCGATTTCCTAACGCCGTGCATGCAGTAGGCGTTGGACTACCGGAGACCATAAAATAAAACTTCTGTCAAGTAGTGATCATATTCTCAATAAAACATCTTTGCTGATGTTTTTTCGAGTCTTCTGGCCAATCAGAATCAAGATTGTTGCCGGAAGTCCCCACGGAGAATAACTTTGCGGTATAACTACTCTTTATACATCCATGGGTACAACTTCAGATATAAATGAACACATAATGAAATATGACCCCCAGTTTGATGATTGACAGGTCACAGAACAATGGGGGCTATCTACCCTACCCACAATTCACACAGACAAGTTTAGCTGTCAGAACAAAGTGAAAAAGAAACAATGGTATAAAATATTATTAAAATGTCAGGGTAGTATTAGATTTATTTATTTTCTTCTCAGAGTGTACCAGAATGCGTAGTTTATATGTTAATATTTCTAAAAATCTCTTGGGGGAGAATCCCCCCAGACCCTAATTATAGATTATAAATAAATCATTTACGGACAAGGGGGTGAGATTAAATAAATTATACTTCTTCTCACTCCTTTTCGAACACTAGATATGGGACTGTTTATGTTGCTAATGCTGTTGTTGTTGTTGTAAATGTCATTTTTTGTTTTGATTTCTCTTACATTACTATCTTTTGTTGTTTTGTAATTATTTATTTTACTTGTTCGAAATAAAATGTATCAATCCATCAAAGCTACAGTGTAGATATGTCGATGTCACAGGCTCCTCCAACGGTGCAACACAATAAAACAGACACAATAGTTAGAATAGTGCAAGTAATACGATTAAAACAGAATATAAATAGTGCTAGGAGAGTCTAAGTAATTGGAATATCAAAGTCCAAGTCAACTTTATTGTCAATCTTCTAGTTTGGGTGTACAGAGAGATCGAAATACCGTTTCCCACAATCCCAAATATAAAAACAAATGTATATAAAAATATGTGTGCAAATATGTACTCAGTCAAAGACACATTTGTAAGTGTGCACACATTAAGACCTAAATAAAAACACAACAATCAGTATTTACAAAATAACAGTCACTTCAATATTTTTGATATATTAGATAAATAATTTGTAAGTTGCAGACAGATGACTGTTAATCTTCTTCATCTCTTACCCAGGTGTCTATGCCTTCGGTCTCTTCACCACCACAATCTTCGTGAATGCCGGCCAGGTGGTGACAGGAAACCAGACGCCTCACTTCCTGTCTGCGTGTCGACCGAACTACACGGCGCTGGGCTGCCAGTCGACCATGCAGTACATCGCAGAGCGCCGGGCCTGCACAGGGAACCCTCTGGTGGTCATGTCTGCACGGAAATCTTTCCCCTCCAAGGACGCAGCGCTCAGCATCTACTCTGCAGTCTACACAGTGGTAGGTTGGAGCATGCTGGCTGGATATTTAGAGGTTCTGTTAAAGGTCACCTATTGTGCAAAATCCACTTTTTCATGTCTCTTCTACATCAACATGTGTCCCCTCTTCTCCATGTCTCTTCTACATCAACATGTGTCCCCTCTTCTTCATGTCTCTTCTACATCACCATGTGTCCCCTCTTCTTCATGTCTCTTCTACATCAACATGTGTCCCCTCTTCTTCATGTCTCTTCTACATCAACATGTGTCCCCTCTTCTTCATGTCTCTTCTTCATCAACATGTGTCCCCTCTTCTTCATGTCTCTTCTACATCAACATGTGTCTCCTCTTCTTCATGTCTCTTCTACATCAACATGTGTCCCCTCTTCTTCATGTCTCTTCTACATCAACATGTGTCCCCTCTTCTTCATGTCTCTTCTACATCAACATGTGTCCCCTCTTCTTCCATGTCTCTTCTACATCAACATGTGTCCCCTCTTCTTCATGTCTCTTCTACATCAACATGTGTCCCCTCTTCTTCATGTCTCTTCTACATCAACATGTGTCCCCTCTTCTTCATGTCTCTTCTCCATCAACATGTGTCCCCTCTTCTTCATGTCTCTTCTACATCACCATGTGTCCCCTCTTCTTCATGTCTCTTCTACATCACCATGTGTCCCCTCTTCTTCATGTCTCTTCTACCTCAACATGTGTCCCCTCTTCTTCATGTCTCTTCTACATCAACATGTGTCCCCTCTTCTTCATATCTCTTCTACATCAACATGTGTCCCCTCTTCTCATGTCTCTTCTACATCAACATGTGTCCCCTCTTCTCATGTCTCTTCTACATCAACATGTGTCCCCTCTTCTTCATGTCTCTTCTACATCAACATGTGTCCCCTCTTCTTCATGTCTCTTCTACATCAACATGTGTCCCCTCTTCTTCCATGTCTCTTCTACATCAAACATGTGTCCCCTCTTCTCCATGTCTCTTCTACATCAACATGTGTCCCCTCTTCTTCATGTCTCTTCTACATCAACATGTGTCCCCTCTTCTCCATGTCTCTTCTACATCAACATGTGTCCCCTCTTCTTCATGTCTCTTCTACATCAACATGTGTCCCCTCTTCTTCATGGCTCTTCTACATCAACATGTGTCCCCTCTTCTTCATGTCTCTTCTACATCAACATGTGTCCCCTCTTCTTTATGTCTCTCCTACTGTACATCAACATGTGTCCCCTCTTCTTCATGTCTCTTCTACATCAACATGTGTCCCCTCTTCTTTATGTCTCTCCTACTGTACATCAACATGTGTCCCCTCTTCTTCATGTCTCTTCTACATCAACATGTGTCCCCTCTTCTTCATGTCTCTTCTCCATCAACATGTGTCCCCTCTTCTTCATGTCTCTTCTCCATCAACATGTGTCCCCTCTTCTTTATGTCTCTCCTACTGTACATCAACATGTGTCCCCTCTTCTTCATGTCTCTTCTACATCAACATGTGTCCCCTCTGTGGAAAGAGACTCTGAAAGTTTCAGGAACAAAGATTCTCTCTCTTTTTGATCCATTTCTATAAAAACCTGTCTGAAAACGAGCTGATCAGATTTTGGCCACTTTATGATGTCATAACGATTTTTTTGGGTTGTGTAACTATTAGCCAATCAGCAACCAAGGTAGTAAACCCCCCCCCCCCCACCTTATCACCTGAATCTCCTCCTAGAGCACCATTGAGATCTTTGTAACCAAATCTCTCTCAGAGGGGCGTGGGGAGGGGCTCCTCATCTAAAGTGACAGACAGAGAATCAGCACTTTGGAAACAGCGCTGAAACAGAGGGGATTATGGGTAATGCTGCACTGATCTGTTTGGTGTTTCAGCCAATCAGAGACAGTTTCTATATATATCTGAGACCTGTAATATATTGATGAAAAACAGTATAATAGGGGACCTTTAATGAATGTTGCCGATTGAAACCTTGCTAAAAGAAACAGGACTTAGCCTGTACTGATATTTTCACTTTTACAATGTTATTTTGGGATTGAAGCAACTTCATTTGTCTTGCTACAAATCCACAAAGTGTTAGATAAGCAGAGTGATAAGACTCTCAAGCCCATACAATGGATATAAAGCTACAGCTAGTTAGCTTGGCTCAGCACAAAGACTCAATATTTTAATCCATACAAATATGTAAGTAGAAAAACAACAGTTCCTTGTCTGAGTGTAGGTGATGTGCACGACCACTTTTTGATAGAAAGTATGCGGCACACCTTGCATAGCAGGCTAAAGGCAGCAAACTCATAAGCTTAGCTAACCAAATGCTAGCTGACATACCTACAACATATTTTTGATCTAGACAAGTTTTGATTAGGACAAAGCTTATTCACCTCAATGCGTGCAAACTAGATCAAATATGAGTCTGCATCCACCCTTATCTTTGCATAAGACTACTATATTTGATCTGCTTCTAATATGTAATGTGTTTGTCTGCTAACCCCCCTAAAGAAAGATTGTCGTCTGAACACTGGAGTAGTAGTTTGAAAGAAAGAAAGGATTTTATCTGGCATTTTAAAACCTAGTCATGTTTTAATGATGCTTGTGTGTCTTCTTTGTTTGTTGTAACTCTTCTTCGTCTCTCTGCAGATGTATGTGACTCTGGTGTTTAAGACCAAAGGTACGCGGTTGACGAAGCCCACCATCAGCCTCACTCTGCTCTGCCTGGCTGTTTTAGTGGGGGTGGTCCGAGTGGCTGAGTACCGAAACCACTGGGCCGACGTCCTGGCAGGATTCTTCACCGGGGGATCCATCGCTGTGTTTTTGGTGAGAGATTACAATGGAAAATAAGTGTTTTTTGAGTGTATCCTTTACCATTTTTAATCCCATAACGATTGGTTTACTTATCACAAAAATCACTATTCAAGCGATGACATTTGTAAAAGGTCTACTGAAGCAAGCCTTCCTATGTCTGGGAAAGACTTGTATTCAACCGGAAGTTATTAAAACTAAAATGGTGTACGAATCAGCAGGAGTATTATCGTCCCTTAAACCAAATCAAGAGTAGGACAAAGCCTCTGTTGTGTCTCAAAACTGATATGATTGCATCTCTTATGCATCTTGGCAGGTATATATGTATCTAACTCCACAAAATAATGTCCCTAACCAAATAAATGTAATTAGAAAATAATGCTAGGTTAGTATTAGTTTAGTTTATTTGTGTCGTGGACAGTCCCCATTGATCAACTGTCACAAAAAACAATAAATGGGGCAGCTCTAAAGGTAGTTCCTTGAAGGCTTGCATTATTTTAAGGCTGAAAAAAAGTACAACACCTTCCCAACTCTTGAGATACCAGTTTGCCCCAACAGGAACCCTCTATGAACTTTGAAATGGGAACAATTCTAAAGGTTGTTGTTGAGCTGTGATTGGACGATTGCAGCGGGGTCAGGGTTCATCGCAGTGTCCGTTCTTTCTTTCTTTCTTCTCTCTAACCCTTTAACCCGGTCTCCATCTGCAGGTCACCTGTGTGATAAACAATTTCCAGCAGATGTTGCCAAGTCCTCCTCCACTTCGACCCCATCGCCCCGAGTCCATGCTGGGGATGCCGATGGTGACGCTGCCCTGTGTCGAGAGTCCACTCGAAAAGTTAAGTGGCCCTCAGGTAAGAGGCGGGGTGCTGCACTCACAAAAGAGG